CTATTACTTCCTAACTCTATGACCTTGAGTGATTCATTCGTGCCTCAGTTAACTCATCTTAAGAATGGGAATAATATGGGTGCTTGGGTGGCTCAGTCGGTTAAGCATCTGCCTTCAGCTCAGGTCATGAAACCAGGGTCCTGGGATCGAGCCCCACGTCAGGCTCCCTGCTCCGCGGGAAGCCTGCTTTTTCTCCCTCTCCCTCTAACCCTTCCCCTGCTTGTGCTCTTGAGCGCTCTCTCTCAAATAAATAAAGCTTAAAAAAAAAAAAAAGAATGGGAATAATAAAAACACCTATGTCGTGAGGCTATTCTGGAAATTAATGCATCAGAGCAATGAAAGTGCTTAGCACACCCGATACAGAGCGAGATCTCAGCGTTGGCTGGTGTTGCTGTTTCTCATAATATCGTGACTAACAAGCCTACCTGACGGAGGCTCACTGGCCTCATTGTAGAGATCAGAAAAATCAAGAAAGAAGTTAAAGAGTAAAGCATTTCCACGTGCATCATCTTCAAAGGCTAAAGGGCTTGCCCCTGTTTCACTCTTAGCACTTACGATGATGTGCAAATTGTACCTGGAAGAGGATTGGAAGTTATCCAGGCAACATGGGGTGTATCAACCCCAAAGAGAAGGAAGGTCAGGGGCCTTTCCGTCTTGGCAGGAGACGAGCTTGGAATGAGGATAGGAAGGAGGCCATCGGGCTCAGTGCTGCCTTATTCCTTGGTGTCTACAGAATTCCTCAAGGCCGAACTGTGGGATGGCTACGAGGGCAGCCCCGAGCACCAGACTGCCTGGATCTGAAGCCTGCCTGTCCTCTGTCCCTTACCTCACCTGTGCAGCGGCATAGTGACAGTGCCCACCTCACTGAGCTCTGATGGGGATTCAGTGAGGTAGTATGCAGAGCAGATACCAAGGTACAGAACAAGCACTTAGTATTAGCGCAAGATACCTGCCCTGCCCTGTGTCTGCCGCTGCGTGATAGAGCAATTACCCACGTTTAATGATAGTCGTTTCCCCCTGGAAGCCCCTTAGGCACTGAAAGTCCGTGCGTGCGTTCACAGCCGAACCATCCCTTCTTCCCAAAGCCTGCCCCTCTTAAAGAGTTTCCCACTCTCGGGAATGGCACCACCTCAACCAGGCACTCAAACCAGAAACCCGGGAGTCAGACCAGACTCCTTCTCCCACCTTCTCCTGCATATACGGTTGCAGACCAAAACTGTTTAGTTTGGTTCCTTAAAATTTCTCCAGTCTGTCTCATCCTTCAGCCCCACAATTGTTGCTTGAGCTCGGGCCCTCATCTTCTCTTGCCCTGTCTATACGATAGTCCCCTAACCCTTGTAGACACCGACCTCAGTCCGGCTCCAGGCATCAATCCATTCTCCCTGAGGCTGCCACAGGGACCTTTCTAAAACACAAAACCAATAGTATCTCCCCACCTTATAACCCTTCCTTGGCTCCCCAGTGCCCAGGCAAACCCCATAGCATGGCACAGCAGATCCTTTGGGATCTGGCCCTGCCTGCTTTCAGCCCCACAGTGTCCCTTGACCTCTTTCCACTCCCATCCTTCAATCCAGCCCTTCTGAGCTCATGACAGTTCCCAGAATGCTGTGACGAGCCTCCATGTCTTTGCTTCACTGCCCCGTCTGCCTGGGATGCTCCTTACCCAGTTTCCTGCTCATCTTTTGAGACTCTTCTCGAGAATTCCTTATCTTTGAAGCCATTCCTGGCTACACCCCCCTCCCCCAATATAGGCTTGGCCATTCTCTGCTCTCACAAGTAATCCGCATTCCTGTTCTAGCACCTGTAATTAACTTCTGATGCCTATTGGCATGACTTACTTTCCTCCTGGGCCATAAAGCCATTAGAGCAGAAATCAAGGTTGACTCGTACTTCTTGTCCTAGGCCCTGGCCAGTACCACTGTCCCTATTACAGGCCAGTGACCAGGCAAGTGAATTTCCAAGAGCTGTGAGGACTGCGCATTTATAGCTAGCATTTCTTTCTTTTTTTTTTTTTAAAGATTTTATTTATTTATTTGACAGAGAGAGACAGCCAGAGAGAGAACATAAGCAGGATAAGTGGGAGAGAAGCAGGCTTCCCGCTGAGCAGGGAGCCCGATGCGGGGCTC